ACTATACTTTCTCTAAATCCCTTTTCCTTGTTCCCGCTCCCATTGCAAGGAACAGCTCTAGCTGACTTGCCCGGTACCCTGCAGATGAACAGGATAGTTAACACCGCTGTGCGCAAGGTTTTTCACCCCCTGCGCCAAGGCGCAGTGGGGTTTTCCTAGCTAGACATATGGTAGCAGAACCGCATATCCATTGGATGAAAGCGGAGTATAATAAATAATAATAATTAATAATAAATTTCAATTTATATATAAAAAGACTACAGAATATATATTAAGAAAGTTATTTAAATATTACAGAAACTAGCATTTTTCTATAAAAAATACAGCTAGTAATTCAAATACATCTCATATAAATTTATATGAAGAAATATTTAGAACTTTTATATATGTAATACACAATGAATAATATAATCTTTTATATCATCATTTTCTTATAATAGTTAGATTTGATAGTAGATTATAAATTACCAATAAAATATCAAATATATTTAAAAATGATTGATATATGAGGTGGATAATTTTGTCAATTTGTATTCGTTAGGTGGGTGATGAGGTGGGTGATCACGTTAATCCCAAAAAGGCAATCGATTTTTCTTGTCGACTTTCGGATTAAAAAAAAGTCCCCAAGAGGTCGGATAAAATATCTCCAACAAGAATATAAAGGGCTCCAAGGTCCCAATTCTTCTCAACACTCGTCATAAGTGCAGCTCAACGGGGCCCTCCGCACTCATCCTACATCCACCCTCCCTCCCAATTGGTCCACCCGGTGTGCTCCTTATTGCAATGACATCCTCCATCACTCCCCGCTCCTCCGCCCTTCTCAACTTCACCTCGCGGACCACCATCACCGCTCCCTATACTCACTTCCGATCCTCCCCTCGATCTCCCTTTTCCCCGTCATTGTCTTCGCGATGTCGCCTTCTATCACACCGTCCCTTCTCCAGCACAACACAGCGGGGATGCCTCAATGAGAAACGCCCAGATATTGCGGCCTCAACCGCCAGCCTCCATGAGCTC